GTGGCTTTTTTGTTGTGAAGAATGTTCTTTTGTTACTTCTGTCTTTTGTAGTTGGAAGGGAGAAATAAGTGTCATATGTACTCAGGCATAAGCCTAATTTTTTGGTAAAAAATGAAGCAGTAAAGAGCAGGAATCAGCTTATGAACGGGTCATTGTGTTTTACCATTTTTTAAATGGGGGGGTGAAGGGATGGTTGTCAAACTTCAGTTCCCAGCCCAGCAAACTGCTGGTGTGCTAGGACATTTTATGTACCTTGAATGTCTGCAGGCATGGAGCCCTTCAGCTTCCAGTGGCTGCTGTTTGCTGTTCTAGGTCAATGGGAGTGGCAGGAAGTGGTGATCAGTACATTCCTCAGCCTGTGCTGCTTCCCGCAGCTCCCATTGGCTGGGAACGGTGAATAGCAGCCTCTGGGAGCTGAGGGGCTCCATGCCTACAGACACTCCAGGTAAACAAAATGTCCTGACATGCCAGAGACTTATGCTGACAAGCTGGGACCAGAAGTTTGCAAACTACTGATACAGAGTAGGCTTATGAATGGATCATTGCAATTTTTTTAAACTTGGGGGAGGATGGTCCAGCTTAGGAATGAATGGTCTTATGATTGAGTATATGTGTCATCTGCATCTCCGCAAGGAGGCAGGGCAACAGGAAGAAATCACAAAGGCTTCTCTACCCAAATAAAAGCAGAAATGGAGACTATGAGCTACCATGACAAAAATATGAACTCACATGGATGTGGAATTTTTGACCTATCATAACAAAACACAAGTACTAATGACATATCCTGCTACTGACACACCATAAATAGTTTTGAACAGAGTAAAAACAGTTACCATAATGCATGCATTCTTGCAATACCTCTTTTAAAATTCAGTTTGTGCAACAATTCTGAAGCCAACAATTAGGACATTAGATAATTCAGTTTATGCATAGGAGATAAGATTGTTTTCCAAAAAACTTTCTAAATTAATTAAATCTTGATGAGCACTAACCAATGCTGTATGTGAGGGTTTAGCACAAAAAATCTTAACTTTTTAAAAAAATCTTCCAATGTTAAATCATTGAACCATATTCTGTTGGATTTACTAACAGTTTTTGCTTGACAGCTTGATACCGAGTTTTGAAAACTCCTCAGAGTAAATGATTGGTTGGCAAAACTTGGGATTTCAATGGAAACCTGTATTGAGGCATTGGTTTTAAGTGAAACTTAGATACAAAATACATCAACACTGATGGAAATTGAGAACACAATCTGCTATATGCAGTGGCCATAACTAATTCCTATTACCTATTCCTATCATTTCCAGTATGGATCTCCCCTGTTCCGTAGAGAAAGTGAAGTCAGTGTGAATCAACCACACCCAGTGGCACTGTTCCCAGACCTTTTCTGTGGTCCTCACTCCACATGCATTGTACTTCCATCCCTAGGTGCCAGTAGAAAAACTTGCAGAAAGTTAAGGTAAGCAGAGACTGTAATCACTCTGCCACCAATCTTCAGCTATCAGGGAAAAACTCTTATGAATAAGTCCTAGAAGAAGCAGTAGCTATGGGACATCTTGGCAATGAAACAGCACTGGCAGAGAACCTGACGTCAAGGTGCTTAGTGATAACATTTGTACATTCTTGAAGATCCCTGGGATTCAGCCAGCCTGAGAGCAGGACCACTGCCATTTCCTTGGAGAACTAAGGGTGAGGGTGAGGAGAAGGCAATCATATCCATCCTCCCAATGAAACAATTCAAGGAAAATTCTGAGGAGGAACTGTGATTTTAGTGAAACTGCACCCATATTCCCCTCTGTAATCAACCACAAGGCTTTCAGCTCCACAGCCATCACCAGTCTTGGGCACAGACCCACATCTCACTCCTTCTTAATTAGGGTGCTAAAACTTCCCAGCTCCCTGTCTTACACTGTGATACCCTAAAAGGCCAGCACCTATAATTTGCTTTCTTTTTGAAGGTGCTGACCAGATCATTGTCCACAGATAGAAGTCATCACTCATCTCCTTCTAAACAAGAACATTTATTCTTAAGGCAAAGAGCATTACAGAGAAGCATATTAAAACAACAAAGAAAATACATACTTACTAGAAAGATTGCCAGAATTCACCCCCCACATACAACTGGTAGGTTTTAGTCCTTCAAAACCCACAACTGGGTTTTCCCCATAATTACTTATTCTTCCAACTTAGATCCAGAACTAGAACAAAGCCTGGACAGATCAACAATTTATACAGCTTGGTTCTTTTATCTTGGCCTTCTGTAACAGGTTATCAGCAGACTATGGCCCTTTCTATAGGGAGCAGATTCAAAAGGATGGATTTTTGCATAATGAGAGATGTGGAAGTTGCATTAGTCATTCTTTAGGGATTACCCAGGGAATCCACTTAACTCTTGTTGTCTCCACAAGTCCATACTTATCTGGAACAATTCAGAATGTGAATGCCTTTAAACTTCCCAGGTCTCACATCCATCACTTCTGTAATAAGTTGAGGGTCTGCAACATAAAATCAGCAGGCCTGAAATCTAGTGAGAAAGATTTCGGCTCAGTGGAACTGCAAGCAGGAAAGAGGTTTGGCTAATGAGAAATAGTATAAGCCAGGTCAAGCATAAAGAATGCCAAAAGTTATCAAGCACAGGTACCAGGCACAGGCTGTAAGCACATTCCAGAGGGGTCGTAACAGAACGCCTCGCTGAGAAACATTTTGGTACCACCCGCCTCCCCACAAATAATGTACATATGGCCTAGGTTCAGGACTGGGTCGAAGTTGACAGCATGATGAATAGTAAGTAAACCCTACTTCTGTGAGGTAAGGGGCAGTAACCACGTAATAGAGGGTGGCAACCTGATACGTCAAGAGTGACGTGTAACTTGTTTTTACCTGTGTATAAATGTGCACCCCAAAGGGTGATCGCCAGCTGACCATGGTGGGGGAGCGGGGGGACTGGAAATCCAGAGTTCTTAGTGGGTGTTAGCTCATTGCCATGGCTTACATAAGGTATAGTGGCACAGCGATGAATCTGTTTGCTGACAACTATTATTGTATGTCATTTGGCAATAAATCTGCTTGGGTGATTTCAATCCTTATCTGATTTGTGGTCTCTGGGGAGTATGTCATGTTAACTAATTGCATATGATTATCGCACTAGACAGGGGAGTAAACACATGCATGCACGCAGCAGAAAGTTTAACATCATTGACGAAGTAGAGGACCTGTCAGGAACCCACTGGGATCATCCCAAATCCTGATTGACGATAACTTCTACTATGGCAAAAATGTAGTATTTTAGTATTAGTGTATAAATGTAAATTTGATGTATAATGATTTGCCTATGAGATCTGTATGCTTCTATTTCACCTTTTTTCTCATGATTAGACAACATCTGCATTGTAAACTAAGTTGTGTCTTCTAGAAAGTATGTAATCCTTATCTGGAATGCTTTGTAAATTGCTTGGTGTGAGTGGAGGATGTGTGTAAGTGTGAAAGCCATCACAGATGCCCAGATGGTCAAGAAGTGGGAACCTTAAAGATAACCAGGAAACATCCATTGTGTCTGAGGCTGAATTAAATTAGCCAAATTGATGAACCCTGGAGACAGGCAGAGCCCCCCAAAAGTGAGACACAAACAAGAGATAAGGATGGGAAGCCTCACAATAACCATCAATGGATAACTGTGGAAAACTCTGAGATTAACACCTTTTAAGAATGAATGATTGCAACATGACACTGCAAAACCTATAGACTCAAATAGGAGCTTACATAAATGAGAAGGGAGGCTCTTGCCATTTGACTCTGGGTTTGATCCTCCAAGCCAAGCCTCAGAGGAGCCTTGAATCGCAATCAAAAGCCCCTGATTGAAAGATTCTGACCCTTGCCTGGCTAGTAAGACTGACTTGAGCCATGACAGACTGGTAACTATACATCATGTGCACCTGTATGTGTGGGCTTGTCTTTATGAAGCATATGTTAGCTGCTTTTATACTGTAGTCTTAATAAATGTAGCATCTTGCCTTTTCCCCTAAAAAGATCCCGTGTGCTTCTTAAAAGCATAACACTCTCCTCTAGGGAAGTTACATACAATTTTGGCTCACCTTAATACATAAAATTAACAAAATAAGAACTTCCAAAGTGTTGAAGGAAATTGCCATATCAGTCACAGGAACATCAAAAAGTCTTCCTCCCTTTGGAGTTTCCCCCTTCAAAAAATGTTTTGTTTTTCGCAAACCAAACAGGGGATGCTAAAAACATTTTCCACTCTGGGTAACAACACACCTTGCACTGACCATGTAGGCCAAGACGGTTAGCTTCCTATTTTAATCACCATTGTTGCTGATGCTGCTAGTCCTTCCTGACCTGAGTAGTTCCATTGCCTTTAAGGAGGTAACCTAAGAACAACTAATATAAGTGTTTGCTGTATTAGAGCCATTGTCCAGAACTGCCAGTCAGAAACTTACAAACACAAGGGACTCCTTCCTTCCAGGAATTTTTCTCAAACCATTTCATTGTGGGGGCAGAGTTTGAGATCCATGAGGAACAAACCTCATAGCCCACTCTCTTTCTCTCTGTCTCTCTCTCTCTCTCTTTGTCCCAAGCCATCCATCCCAAAGTCCTGGAAAGCTCCTCAGCTTGTCCAGTCATTGGGAATCTATGATCTTCTTTACAAAAGGCTGATATAAATAAAGCCATTCAACAAAACACTGTATTTATAACAACTTAGGAACTGTTACAGATAGGCTTTCCCTGCCTTGACTTCAGTCTGGGTGAAATCCACCCAAGTGCAAAGCACCAGTAGAAAGCCTATGATCACCTATGTCACACCACACATCCTTTAACATATATCAATGTTATATTGCCATAACTCTATTGATTTCAATTAATTTACTTCTGATATGCTCCAGTGTAAATGGGAGCAGAATGTAAACATTCTTCCAAGTTAACAGTATGCCTCCTTAGCCTTTCTGCACTAATTAAGCAAAATATTGGTTGACTCAGGAACTCACCATGTCTGTGTCTGAAACAGGTCCAAAGCTGGTTACATAGATGTTAGTGAAGACTTCTGTTATACTGTCTGATAATAGAAGAGAGAAATAAACAAATGTTTAGCATTGACATTTTCTGTATTCTGCCCACAAAGTGACGTGAAACATTCTGAACCAGATTCTGCTCTCAGTCATACTGTTGTAAATATGGAGTAACTCATTAGAATTACTCTGTTGTTATACTGGTGTTAATAGAAGAAAACTTGGCCCCTAGAGGGCTTCACTTACAGCAAATATAAACAACATTCCTATTTTCAGAGCCAGCAAAAATAATTACAATGCCTGGAATTTAATAAGATGCCACAATTCTAAACATAAAACACCTTTGTTGCAGAGCTATTATTCCTAGTGTTGCCGATCATGGCTGTTAAAAGCTTTCTAATTCAAGGCTATATTTTTCAGACTGAACAGCTTTTTCAAAGCCTAAGAAAATGTTTACAATACAATTATCAATGTGCTAAAAATAACTGTGCCCCAGCATCATACATTTTAATTGTTTTAAGTGACAAGTGTTTAAATATAATAGTCCCTTCCCTCTCTGTATTCACCATGCTGCTGAACAGTTGTAGCTCTGTAAGAACTGGAAAGAATGTCCTCCTAATGATTATAGTTGGACAGCCATGATACCAGTAGATTGAATATTGTTCTATAGGGAAAAATAATTGCTGAATTTTCTATCTTCTATTTTCAATTAGGTGCAAAACTGAATGATACACACTAACAGAGATGGGCCATACCAGCAGAAAATTTCCTACCGCAGTTTCCAACTACCATTTAATTATCAGGCACCTAAAATACTGAATATTCTGCCTTTCAGCAATTTTTTAGCTGAAAAAGAAAAAAAAAGTACTTAACAGCTAAGTGTGATTTGACAATGAGCATACTATGTCCTTTTCTAAAAAGTACAGTGCACCTTGTAATTGCTCTTTGCTATATCTTGACCTTTATATTTGATCAAAACACAAACAGGAAATTCATGGTTTTTATTCTTGATTAAAAGCTGTTCTGAAAACAATCTTTTGACCATGATGTTGTACGAATTTTTCATACCATTGTGAATATTACAATGTAGGCCTAGCATTACAAGCCCAAAAGGAAGACTGGCATAGATTAGTTTCTTATATAATCAATGTTTTCCTTTCAAAGAGCAGTGTAATTGAACACGCTAGTGTTCATGTGCGCCACTTCCCTATACTGAATAAAATTTGATGTGCTCAATTGTTTATATAGGCTTCATATGCTAATATTCCCTTTTATTTTTATTAACAGCTAAGAGCAAGACTGTGACAGTTATAAACCAGTGTATTTTGGGAATGGTGTAGAGACACATCTCCACAGCAGGGATTTTGCTGGTGCAATCCTTTCTGGACTGCCCTGGAGCATGGAGGAAATGCATCTCTCTGTTGCTGATTATGATGAAACGGTTACCAATGAGTCCGAAAAGGAGCTGTTGAAAGGTGGCAAAAAATGTTTTTTGCATCTTGTTCCTCACACGCTTAACAGGGCCACTCAATCTTATAGTGAGGGCCTTTGCTTTTGGCATCAGGCAACCTAAATTCTATCCCCACTTCTATCATTAAATTCCAAGTGTTCATGCTTAGTAGCAAAAGTTCCTAGGTAGTTATATATATCAGACTTCTACTGTGCTATGTGCTGTACCCACACATGACAAAGAGACTGCAATTGCAGTATAAGATAAGGGATAACATATGTTGGTGTGCATTAATGTTCTTAGTATTTGGCTAGGAATAAGCATGACTGAAGTAACATCTGGAAACCACAAGCATGGTTCAGAAAAACAGTAATAAAATATTGTTTGTCAGAAAATCTTAAAATGAAGATAATTCTCTCCAAAATGGGCACCTGTTACAGGCTGAGAGGAAATGAAAAATGACAAGACTGAATCTCTCTCCTGGGCACCAAACAGTGCTACAAAGATTAACTGTGAAATTTGGCTTGCACTATTCCAAAAAACACACAAACCTAATTATAGTTCTATTTTAAAAGGTGTTAATGCATCACTGACAATCAAGCTTTCCACAGGCAGAAAGCCAAATCTAATCTCAGCTACGCTGGTGTAATTTGGAGTAACACCACTGCAGGCAAAGGAATCACATGGGAGTTAGTTACACATTTTAATCTGATCCATAACAGTATACCTATGATAGGGAACTCAACACTGTCTTATTTTTTACAATACATCTATATTATGATGTATTATTTGACAATATATACTACAAGCTGGAATTTCATTATTGGTTTTGCATATAGTAAACTACAATGCATACAGTTTTCAAACTTGACTTCAGTTCTACATCTCAGTGAGAGCAAATCAATCCTTAATTTTAAGAATATAAACACACAAGTAGGGTTAAACTCCTCTTCCTCCTACTGAAAAACAGAAAGTGAACACACAATGGTGAGGGAAATCAAAGATGCAACATCAAATGGCTGAAAAGCTGTCATAACTATCTGGAGATTCCTTTAGCTGGCCCTAAATTATCTCCTTTAGAGTCCACATCCTAGGGGTAAACCAAGGATCTAGCAGAGAGAAAGAAGACAAGCACTACAGTTCAGCTGCTAGAACTTTATATCAGCCACTGCATTTAGAGCGGTACTTAGGCCAGGACCAAGTCTGAAAAGGTTGATTTGCATGTACAAAACATGACAAAGGTCACAGAAGGAGTCTGAATCCAGAGTTGGGATTAGTCCCTTGCTTAAGCAACTTGACCATGTTACCTCCTGAGCTGGCCTTCTTTCTGGCCTCAAGTCATAAAGCATGCTTGCTGGTAAGCAGAAGAGCTGACTCATTTGAAAGTAGCTAGTAGGAAACCTGTAGTGGCCTTAGTGCTATTAAAGGTAGCCTGAATAGTGCTTCCCTTTTCAGCTATAAAATTGATCTGGAAACTTCCCATTCCCTCTTCCCCAAATGAAAGAACCTATGCCATGGTTTTACATGGACCATAAAGCCATGCTCAGATTGGCTGTGTGGGCAGGATTTATGAACAACCTGTGGCCTTTAAGAAAAAACATATTGTTTTAACAAACCTAAATATCCCAACATTTCATAATAGAACAGAATGTCTAAAATATGTAAATGCACAATTTTAATGCCGGGCATGCAACAATTTCTCTTTATTTTACAGTTTATTTTGTATGTGCAATAAATAGTACCCTGGAGAATGCTGCAGTGTTGTAATTTGATAGAAGAGCCGTTATGGCATTAAAAAGTGAAAATGAAGCACTGCTTATTAATTATGTCAACATAAAATGAAAAAGAAGGTCAAGTTTAAAGTGCTGCAGGAGCCTTACGACAGGATTCCCAAGCATGGGTGAAAAAGCTGTCAAAACCCTGATGTTATTTTAATTATTTTTGATTAAAATATATTCTTTAACTAAAATTGACATTGTTCTGACATTGTAATATGGTCTCCACAGACGTGCTGGGTAATTTTGCCCAAAGATACTGAAATTGTGATTCATAATACAATCCAGGAGCTGCACAAGTGAAACAGCCAGAGCTTTAATCCATCAAACACTGTTCCAACTCAACATTCTCTCCTTAGCTGACAAGCTTGTTAGTACAGCTGAAAGTGCCAGCTCAAGACACTTACTGGTGGGAGGTGAGATAATTGGGAGCTCCAGGAGTGGAGGGAGAAAAGGGAATGTAAATATTTCAGTGTAGATTTTGCTTCAGTGGTTACGGACACCGTACCTGTCCAATTATTCAGCATTTTCTACTACTATCCACTGTCACCAGTTATAATAGAACACTTTACAACACTTTAAAACCACATATAGGTATTCAAGTAAAGATGTACATAGGAATTTCAGTTTGTAAACTGAAGATGGGTTTTGTGAGAAGAGGAAACAGATTCATTTCCCCCACTGCGAACTATCTGAGAAATTTTCTTAAGGGAATCTATATATAAAAGTACCTGTATATAGTCTATTTGACTGGACTCCACTTAATCACTCCTGTTCACTTCATCTATAGATGTGCTCAATAAAAAGCTATTTAAATACAATTTCCAGTTCCAAAAAGGTAGCCACAGAACAAAGCTACTTGACGGCAACTGTGACAGTCCCCCCTTCCATGCCTTATGAAATTGGCTTATGAATATAAATATGCATAACTTGGAGATGCTTTGGACAAGTACCTCATGTAATCTATCAATTTTAATGTTGCAGCCTGCAGGATCTGTATATATCTTATTCTGGTGCATATATAATTCTTATATGCAACATTAGAAATAGGAAGTATGAGATTGTTTATGGTTTTAAATGTGCTAATGAGAGCACCAATGGTGCTCCAGAAGCCTTACGGTGCATCTATACTTCAGGGCTTAACTCGAAATAAGCTACACAAATTGAGCTGTGTCAATTGCATAGCTTGTTTCGAAATAGGGAGCGTCTACACAGCACTTATTTCGAAATAGAGCACTCTTCCTCTGAATTCCCTTATTTCTCGTACAATGAGGGTTACAGGAGTTGGACTAAGAAGTCCTCCAGCTTGACAGTATTTTGACACTATTTCAAAATAACTGCCTGCTGTGTAGACACGGACTAAGTTATTTTGGAATAGCACTAGTTATTTTGAAATAGTGTTGCAGTGTAGACGTACCCTTAATGATTGGGTGATCAACTTAATGACTTGTAAACAGCCTTGTTTGTCCTTTAAATCTAAGCAGTGGTTGGTCCTAGGAAGACATGTGACCATTCCATCTTGTACTGGGATACCAGTTTGACCAGATAATTTTCCATGGAAGGGGGGATGAAAACAAAAAATTCCTACACAAGAAAAAGTCTATTTAAGCAACAAGAAGCCATCAGTCCCTTTATATTTGGCCTGCGTGATACACCCAAAAGGAGAGCTGGAGACCTGGGTGAAGTAAAGAGAGTCTCTGACCTGAAGATGATGGCTAAAACAAGACCACCTTTTAGAATAAGAGTAAGTTTGCAATAAGCTTTAGTGTATTAAAATTAGGTAGGTGTTTTCTTTTCATTTTAATTCTGTAACTCACTTTGA